TAAGCCTGTGAATCAGGAGCTCTTGTTCAATTTTGCAGGAATTTATATGTGTAAGTTCTTTTATATCAGTTGAAACTTATACTTAATTTGCTCATAGTCAGCATGGATGACAGCTGCGAGCAGATCTATGCAACTACAAGAATTTAATTTGTATACAACTTAATGTGAAAGATATGTCAAATCATTAATAATTTTCTCTGATCTTACTTATAATATCTAGTCAATAATGACATTTCTAATGGATTTCTATAACAAACATTGTTTTAAATTTAATCTTGTATAGATTTTCCACAGTATATATTATGTTGCCTTGCTTGATTCGGTGTACAGATGTAGGTATAGCCAGATTTCGAAAGATATTGGATTCATTTCATCATCAATAATTCTCTCTTAAATGTCTACTTTGAGTCGACTATCGTTTATCTTCTTCACTATGTTATTGATACGTATGAATATTTATTTTCAATCGAAAACTTCTTCTTTTATTAAGGGCTTTCGCATAATTCTGCCAATTTCACGTGCGTAGCCAATACATGGTATGAATTATTTTATAAAATTAATTTTGTAAATAATATTTTCAAGTATAATGTTTCACTTTCTATTACAGTTTAATATTACAAAAAAATACACATATGCGGATTGTTTTAGTAGATATCCCATATTAAATTGTCATTTACAATTCAATTTTGTCAATTTCATTCTTCTTTTATTAATGGTATATCTGCGCATTTCACACAATTCTGCCAAAGTCAAGTGAATAAATTAATTTCTACATGTAAAATGAAAAAGTAATGAATGAAAGATTAATTAAAACATTGTCTGTATCATTGTGGTTTGTATTGACAAAAAGTGAATTGGTGTTGCAATATGAAAATCAAACATCGATTGGAAAATAATCGATTAATTCACTATATGTAATAGAACTGCAGTAACATTTATTGAATAAAAAAAAACTTTAATATACTTTTAGTTAATTTTGGTGCAATTTTGCATTTTTCCTAAGTTTTACGGACTACTACGGTTGTTGATTCAACAATGCCCAAATAAATAAATATATATATATATATTATTATTATGTAATTTCCAATGCCCGTAATTGGAAATGTTATATGAAAACCTAATGAAGTCCCATAAAGTCACAATATGAACTATCCATGTAGTTTGATGAAGTCCGATGATATTCAATGAAGTTTAATGAATTCTGTTTAAATGGATTGAAGTTACTAAAGTCATATGCAATCATCATTTAACTTTAACATTTAATTTTTAGTACAAACAAATATATAAATTTAATGATTATTTTTGTTGTACATTCTTTTGAAACGGAGTTGTTTAAAGTAAAGTATACACCTCTAGATTAATGCTCGTCCTAGTCTTGGACTGATTGCATACCTCACTTATTACAGTTTGTTAGTGACCGAAAATGAGTCAAAACTTTTCTGTTCACGACCTACCTATGTAGGTACCGTTTTATTTTACGGAATCATATTATTCACTTTCATGCTACTTTATCTCACATAATAACATTTATTTTGCGAATTAAAACTCGGTATAAACAATAAAATAAACCAACACCATTCGAATTTTGAAACTTAACTCTTTAAGCTTGACGTTATCTTTAGTCAACGCCAGGATTTATAGTATTTCATCTGACTTTTTTTTTTAATTAAAAGACTTAATTATATCGGATTTATGCTTTAAATATTAAGCATGTTTAAAGTTGAGTGCTTAATAAAAGTTAGAATTGGGTATATGACGATTTTCTGAAAACTAATTAATTAAAATAGTTGTTTGATACATTATAAACACACTGTCAATATATTACATGAGAATCTGTTCTATTTTCGATGAATATAATTGTTTAAATCTACAGATTCTAAGAAATAAACTTTTATTAGATTATTATCTAACATGATGATAATAGTACGAAACTTATTTTTATAGTGTCAAATACCCATAATGATAAAAATATTAATTATAAATTCGCGTTTTGGGTATTTTCCCTTATAGCTTAACACTTAGGTATACACTTTCTTAATGTAGCTAATATTCGGGTGTTTCATCCGTATTTTAAAACGTACGAATACGAATATAATAGATTCATTACGTACAGAAATGATAAAAAAATGTAGGAATGAATAATCATTAATCGTCTCCCGTTTAACTAATAATTTCATTTATTTTATTCTGGTAACACTAATGACAGCTGTTTGGTTCGGCTGCGATTTGGCTCCGATTACGTTTCAGTTTAGTAAACGTTCGTTTGATAATTTACGTTAGCGGAATGGAAATTTACAGCAAAAATCGAAACGTAACCGTTACAGAAACGCTATTGATGATCGATCGTTGTAAATTAGTAGAATTGGCCCCCTGGTATACAATCTAAAAAAGTCTCAATTACAAGAGTACGATTTCAAAATTATTTGACAGCTATTAAAGTACCTCATTAAACTAGACATCCTCTATTACAAATCAAGCGCTCCTTGAAATGGTGATACTACTATCTAAATCCGGTAATTACTCGAATACAGGAGACCAAAACAAGCAACTTCCAGCTACTCGTACAAATTATGAAATCATACCAAATTAACAGGATGAAAGTTCTTTGTATTACTGTGGAATCCGTTTAGTTTATGAAATACGTACATTTACTGAGGTATTATTACATTAATTTTGGTTTACAATATTCTTTATATAAAAAAAAACTCAATATCTGTCAAATTTTCTATTCTGATTTACCTTTAATCTTCATATTTACTCTCGACTATGCCCTCGTTAATTAACCCGCTTCGTGCAAGGGAAAGAATTATCAGATCAGTCTTTTTGATCATTACCTACGAAGAAACATAAAGTAAGACAGTTTACCACTTTATAATATTAGTAAAGATTTATGATTTAATTTTGTACTGTAAATGCTAGGCTGTATGAAAAAAAAATATTTTAAGCGGTATTAGCGTGTTTATATATGCCTCCGTGATGATTCGGATCCTTTACAGGTTCCGTTTTCTGTTGACTTAACACTAAGGTTTCGATTGTATTCACAATAAAAACATTTCATATTTTATCGAAACGTTTACATCTTTTAAGTCTTATGTGAACACGGAAACTGTAAAGGGCCCGAAACGTCATTGAAATCAAAAATATAAACGCGCTAAAACCATTTTAAGTTTTATATAAGAAAGTAGCTATGCTGTACTACAAAATATCTACAGGACTTGTGAACGTTCACGTCTTAAAGTATGCTTTGCGTTATATACAAAAAGGGCGAAGTGCATATAACTAACCCTACTTATTGCGCACAGAGCAAGGCAACTATCTAAATTTGGGCTACACATTACGTCACACGTACTAATTGCTCGCTTTCACTACTGGTGAATCTTACGACAGCCTCATTTTTTCCGAGGACGCAGTTACACGGCAAAACCCGATAGCCATTTGAGAAGCTGCGCTATAAAAGCTGCACTCAAGATAGTCAATGAATTTTGCGAAACATGTTATTCGTTTAAAGGTTATTGGAATTCTTTCTATAAGATTTCAATGTATAATTTTCAGGGTCATCTTTTAGTTTAATTGATATTTACAATATTTATTGATATTTACAATATTAATTACATTACTGGTTTTATTTTACATGTGTGACTGCAAATGAAATACATGTTTTGTTTGTTTTTTTTTTTGGAAACTGTATTAAGACTATATACAAAACTTGCAAAATTTTAAACTCATGTTTAATTAATAATCATTTATGAATTGACATCATTTTACTTGATTATTATTAATGTAATACAAATTATTCCGACAATCTTATAAGTAAATACATTTCTCTCATGAAAATAAAAGATTACTAAATAATTTTGCTAATCGCAAAATTTAAGATCGTATAAGCTGAACCAGCATTTCTTTAAATTGTCTTCAATCCTTGGAATATTTTCAGGAAGCGAAAAATAAGAATTTTTTATAGAAAAATAGCACTTATCTCATATAAACTGTTGCTAGCTATCAAAATCAACAAGGCAATACATAAGTCGCCAAATATGCTTATTCGTTATATTTCGATTTATAAAAGTACAACTTTGGAACGATCTTTAAAAAGAATTAAACTTTCTAAATTTCGGATTAAATGTGAAAAAAATGTGATTAGCATTATAGCTAACGAACTTACCTCTTGTAGTGTCTTGTCGACCTAATGTCACAGACCATCAACACCTCTGATGCAACTTATATCGAGGATCGCGTGAGAAGTGTCTGCTCTCACGACTTGCTCGCAATGCTTAGATCATTTTGTGCAGTCATTTCTTATGTTCGGTTATGGCACACAGATTTGCGATTACCTTACCGCGGGTAATCTCGAATTTGTTACGGAAATTAAGGATTTCATAACTTATTGTTGTAGTTTAGATTTATTATCTGTGGACTGTGGAATTTGTTATGCGGAAAGATAATATGAGGCTTTATCTTTTATTATTTGACTAGGTCATCGAGTGACGACTACATATTACACATCTTGTTTCCATTAACCAAAGAAAATTATACGTTTCAAAGTGAATGCAGTATGAATAATTAGTATAGTTTACATAGAGTATAGATTGATTGCGAACTTATAAATTAATTTAATTTAAAAAAAATAACACTTATTCTATAGATAGCCTTAGAATATGAACGCATTTTTATTTAGATTTGAGTAGCAGAATATTATTAAATTTATTAAAAATGTCGCTTATCTAATTTGTGTCAATTATATGGATCGAGATGGCACCAAGTTAAGCAAAGTTTACGCGTTTGATGTTCAATGCAGAAGTTAAGCAACTTTCTCAAGTACCGATGGTGGGATGGGTTACCAAACATTTAATATCTCGAGTTCCTCCGTGCCTTAAGGCATGTTAAGCCAAACTGCATCTAAAGTCGCTAACACCACTATTTTCTTTAATATGAAAGTATCCAGAATGCAAAATTGATCATTTATATTAAATTATAAATAATATGTTTATTTTCTTTTACAGTTAACCAAGAGAATACCGCAAAATGACGAACGTACGGCATTGGGCAAGCTTTGTGGGTGAGTAGCTAACAATTAAATTTAGTAATGCTGCTATGCATCTGACGGTTTCCGGAAATCACGCTCATATATGAAATTCTAGAACTTTACGTAAAAGCAAAACTTATTCAACCAGTGTTTGTCAATCTGTGATGCACGGACCCCGGGGTCCGTCAGTAGATTTTCTGCTTCGATATAGGAAAGGGCTTACAAGACTTATATAATAAAAATATTCAGTAAATGTCATATAAATCAATTGAATATTATAAATTAAAATGTAGAATTCAATCAAATATCAATAGTGATATATGGAGAGTAGAGTTTATTATGGTAGTGGTAATTGGTACCATGAAGGATGTTTATTTATTTCCGGGTACACATTCAACTGTATAGTAACATCAACACAAATATTACAGGTTTAGGTGCAAAGTATCAGCACCATAAAAATCCTTTATGTATTGGATAAAATTAAGTAAAAAATTAAAAATTAAAAAAATTGAAAATCAGACAATAATTCGTTTAAAAATCGGTGACCATACATTAAAAAATATATACTCGCCGTCAAATATACATCCTTCTCCTTTTCGATTTTGAAGACGGTTAAAAACGAATTAAGATACTGGACAACATGTTTAGTCAAGTACAATTCAAAAGCCGTCTGAGATATAGCACAAATCGTTTCGAATTACTTTTGACGGTTTGATCTTAATAAAGTAACAAAAATTTTGATATAGATAAATCTATAGTTTGGGTTAAGTTAGAATGTTATATTCTTATAAACAATTTTACATTGACATAGGTCCTAAAAGTTTAAAGCATGTCAAGTTATACAAACTGTCATGTTGCTTATCGTAAAATTTAAAGTAAGATAATAAGCAGATTTACATAACTAAACAAAGAAATTTTACAATAAACAAAATATTATTTTCAATCCTTTAATGGATTGCTCTTAAAAGGAACTTACTAATTTAAAATCGGATTAAAACTTTGATAAAAGGAAACATCATCAAACGGATTAACTTTGATTGGAAAACTTGGCAATAAACAGCGAGCCTACTGACGTCACAGTACACGCCATTTTGTTAATTGTCAAATCTCCACAACTTGGATTATTACGGTCAGATAGCGATATAATGATGTGAATTGAGTGGATACTTATTTAAAATTTATTTAGTTTAACAAAATATATTTCTAGAGTCCATCCGATATCACTATTAGCTCTTGGTTTTCGTACATATTAACCCGCCATTTTCTATTTTCCCAAAATGGCGGCCAGCCAATTTTATTGTATACAATGAAAAATAAGGTTATTCTTCATGGCTAAAACAAATAAACAATTTTTTTATGGAGACGAAAACATTACAATTTTTAAAATAAAGTTATATAAAACAAAACTTAAAGTAAACGACATTAAATTTCTTCAGCTAATTATTATTATCCGTAATTATTAGTCTTTTTATGAGAGACATAGCGTGATACTATTTTACATTAACTATAATTGTTTTCGAGATACTAAGATTAAAAAAAAATTGAACATAATTTTCTCACTATTCCTCTTAATACAATCTTTTTTCTCTTTAAGATTAGCTACTCTTTTGGAAAGTTTATCTAACTTTTATAATCTTATTATTTAACTGACGCTACTTTGACTTATTTATTAAATAGTTAGATAGAATATATTTGAATATATGAACTGTTTGTAATATATTTATTGAACAGATTCTGAATACAGCCCTGCTATTCTGTAAAAATCCGAACCCGAATTCGAATTCACTCAGGTGACCAAAATTCACTTTAAAAGTGGCATACACTCAAACTAGTATTGGTAATAACGTTTCGTGGCATAGGTGAAGTGAGTTTCAAAATGACATACGAATAAAATATCTGAGACATTTGAATCAATCTTGTTTGTATTTTTATACGAAAATTGAGTCAATAGAATTTCTCTACTATATAGCGTAAATTCGGACATATAAGAGAATTCGAATTCAGATTCGAGTTTTTACTGAATCGCTCTGCAGGTATTGAACAAAATCTCCCTACTTCCTACTAAAGCGATTTCGCCCAAGTCTAGATTAATCCACGCTACTCGACTATCCTAAGGTATCTTTATAGTTCTAACCCATCCTCACTAGTGACTGGTTTATGACAATATGGCGGCGTTGATAAAGTCAACACCATAACTAATTTACGATAACTCTTATGGCATCAATAAAATCGTAATAAACGAATGATTTCTTAACACTATTGAAGGTAAAAGCTTCTAGTTATTTTCAAATAAGCAAATATCTCTTCAACGGTTTTCTTATTCTCAACGTTTTTAATCTGTTTTCTTATTCACAACGTTTTTACTTTTGAATCTCACAAGCCACAGAGAGAATGAGTGATTTCCCTTAGCAGTATATAGACAAAGAGACTGCCTATGCAAACTTACTTTGAATGAAGTCTTATTAGACTAGAAAGGGCGATGACCGCACGCTTCGCATTAAATAGACCAATGTTACAAGTTCGAGTAGTTAATACTTATAAGTTAGTGAAGTATCTGATATAATTTAGATTACGAGTATTATATTAAATTAATATGATAAAACCAGACACTTTTCCTTTCAACAAGAATTCAAAACTTCAACTAATTAACTAACACCCGTATCTATAGTCGAGTAAAAGTAATTATTTAAGCAAATATTTTTATCCAATAAACAAGAATTTGAATGATATTAAGAATACTATAATTATTAGCTTTAAACAATCCTTTTGACATTCAAATTCTCGTCTATTGTCTAAAAATTGCTTTTTCTCAAGTAATTACATCTCTCAACTATAGATATGAGTGTTCGTATTCGAGTTTAATACTTTTTACACTGGTAGCATGTTTTTTATGTCAATTTAAAATGGAAGATCGCCTTTGAAATCGTACTCGAATCACAAAAAGCATGCATATTAAAAAATATCAAAAAAATGGGACATAATTATCGATCCGAAATGAGGATCTCGATGGCGAAGTGCGCGTTCGTTTATCAATCGTATATGCAATCCGGATATTAAGTAATTTTCGTAAGAGCCATTCATCGGATGGGTTACCAAAAAATAAATATTGTCTTGGGGCCTTTTGTACTTTGGAAGGTACATTTGATCTCGAGACATATGCAGTCTTGACACTCTTATATCTGCACCTTGCCGGAGTGGTGGGTCATCCATCATATCTACTCTTCGATTCGATTACATCCATGCGCTCAAATTCCTGTTTATTTGTTGAAAATATTTTATTTAAGGAATTATTTTTACTCAAGTGATTACTTTAACTGGACTATAGATACGGATGTTACAGTGTTTAAGTCTCTAAGACATCCACAGTGAAGACTTGTGTCCTATTACTGAGAACATTAATAAGCTGATGATGATGAGGACAATATACCTTATTAAATTTATTATATCTTAGAATACAACTGCTGATAAATTTAAAACAAGTACAATTAAGTAATTGTTCTCTTAAACATCACATCATGTCCCCACAGCTGGGACACAGGCATTCCCTATTTATGGAATCGAATAAGGATATTCTCCTTATGACATGATCATTACCCACCATGCGGGCCCAATGCGGATCAGTGGGTATCTACGACTACAGATCAACGGCTTAACGTATCCTCCGAGGCACGGACGAGCTCGAGAAAGTAAAATTTTGGTCACCCATCCTATGACCGGCCATTGCAAAAGTTGCTGAACAACAGCAGCGCAGACTGAGCTCGCTAATCACTACGCCATCGAGCTCCTCTTAAACGTTAAGCAGTATGGGCCATGACCTTCCACGCTGGCCCAATGTGGATTGGCGAGTATTAACGACTACAAATGCAGCCAGGACCAACGGCTTAATGTGCCTTCCGAAGCACGGAGAAGCTCGAGATAATATTTTTTAGGTCACCCATCTCGTAGCCGATCCTTGCATAAGTTGCTTCACGACAACGACTCAAAATAATAAACATATACTCTTATAATATACATAATAATATTTAATAAAAATTTAAATAACAATCACCTACGTTCAGTAAATTCGGATTCAGCAATTCGTGTAACCGTTAATTACGTTATCTACGTGGTGGTCAAGTGAAGCATTTTTGATATTTTGTTAACAATACAACATATACTGTTAAAGCTCCATTATTGTGTAGGCAGATGGATTATTAAGGCTTCTAATTAATTACAAGAAGGGTTATTGTGTGTAACAATGGTGAGTAGGAGTGTACCGCTGTGTCTTATTCGCACGACCTCCAACCTACCTAGTGAATGCCCAATTCATTATCTGTCTAATAGATTTATAAATCGTGTTTTAGTATGATTGTTAAGAGTGCATACAAATATAAATGATATAATAAAGAGACAAGGATTACGAAAACTTCAAGTATTTTATTCGTTTGGTTACTCCTAGCATTTATGACTATTTTAGGTTTATAATACGAACATATGAAAACTTTTTTTTTCAATTAACACAACTAAAAACAAATACAATATCCGTAGTCGAGTTGAGTTTTGTTTAACCGAAAGGTTTCAGCGGCTCTTCCGCTTAACGGAAGCTCTGTTTGATCTGACAAAATGAACTGTCAGTCTGACGGTTAATCTATCAATCTGACAGGCCATTCGGGGCTTCATTTGACTGACGATGTGCTTCGAAAGGCAAATTAAACTGTTGGTCTCGGCTGCATTTGCAATTGTCAAAACCAAATCCGCATCCGCAATCATGGGTTAGCGGCGTGGTGGGTCATGGCCCATTCTTCCTTTTTAGGAAAGGTGTGTCCTAAACCAGTAGAATATTAATAGGATGTCGACACTTTATTTCCATTTTTTTTCCACGATCAAATTTGATTTGCTTTGTGCGCCCTTTTAAAATAGATCAAGATGAAGCGTGATTGAAGCTATTATTTGAATGGAGGTTAGTTGTGATATATTTACTGACATAAATAGCATTGTTCATGACAAATGCAAATGAGAATAAATTTGAACAATTTTCTATAGAAAGTTAGTAT